ATCATTAATACTGTGGTTATCCAGTCCCCTTTATTTGTTTTGCATGCTCTGTCACAAATGCAGAGGCAAAAGCTTGAGCTATTTCAAGCTTATTTAGTGTTAAGAAAGGATGCATGACCCACACCTCCCACCTTAGAACCATTCCTACCTAATGATATTGGATTCTGTTAACTTACTAAAGTTAGTTGCTTCATTTTCCTTTGGCAAATGATTTGTGATGGGCTCAATCCTGTTTAAAAACTCCATGGAAAGTATAGGTGTTCTTGTCATTCCAATTTCTTGTCATTCCAACTCCATTCCAATTGGTGTTCTTGCCTGCCAATTTCTAGATTTGACCTTAATAACTAGCTCTGCCACTTTTTATTAATTTACCAGTGTATGTTTAGTGGCATACTCTTTCACACATGCTTGTTTTTGTTGGTTTGCTGGTGGTTTGGAGTGCTGGCAGAATGTCACAGTTCTAGTGAAATAAAACTGACATGCTTGTGAGATGCTAACTGTTTACACCCTTTTACAAGCAGCATATTAAAATTCCAGTGCTATTAGCAACAAAGTATGTGCTTTACATTTTGGCTCAGTAACACATTTTTAAAATTTCATATAAATGTTTTTCTCCAGGTTTACAGCGGAGTTCACCTAACTGCTCTTGGAAAGGCCCTTTCGAAGATACACCTTAAGTGAGTAAAGAAATTCACATTACATTTTGTTTCCATGTTTTGTGACACTTCACGTTGAGCTGTACTTAGTAGGTACATCTACACATTTACTCTAATTAGCTCCTCAGTAAAGTGTCAGTCTACACATGCGCCCATATTAGGGCACAGTAACTTAATTAACTCTGCTGTAGGATAGTACTATCGGAGACGAGTGCTATCCTGCAGCTGAGTAATTATGTGCACCGAAATGCATGTCTACTGGCTAGCCCCACAATGTAGCACCCTCATACCCCAGCCAACACCTCCACCTCCCAGCATCACCACCTGGAGCCTGACGCTGAACCCCCAGGCCTCCTGCCAGACCAGGGCTACTCTGTTTCAGCTCAAATTGCTGCAGTCTGGGTGCACATGAAGATGCTGCACATATAAAGCATCTGACTCTGGTGCAAACTTCGCCAGAGTTTGTTTTGGTGCTTTAGTAGCATGTGTAGATGTGCCCACTGGATGAGAAATGTGCATAATCTTTGACTTTTTAAAAATTCTTTATTAAAATTAAATACTAATATTCTTATCAAAGTATTTGTCTGATTAAAACATTGATAGATGTTGCACAGGTGCATTGAATTTAATCATGTAATGTGATCTCATTACAGTTTAAAAAGGGAATAAAAGCTCTTACTTTTCTCTGAGTTAAACTCATCAACTTGAATTGTTCAGTTCAGTTGATTTGCTTAAAGTATTTATATCAGCACTTGTTACAACAGGCCTGTCCAGCTTCTAAGGTATTGGGGACCACCCACCCCATGGTGTGTGGCCAAGCACAGGACACCTGGGTCTCATCTGTGTACATTTCCACTCCTTTTACCCTCCCCTGCTTGGTGCACTGAGCACATGCATGCCCACATGGATGTGCCATCCTGTAGCTATATAGCATACTCATGTGGCCCCAGGCTCACCCTCAGCTCCCTGCTCTGCACCATGGTGCACTCCCCCACCCCTTGGGGTAGGGATGGGAAGCAAAGGCTGGAGGAGGAATGGGGAGCTCAGAGATGCTAGCTACCATTGCAGCTGGAGTGATGAGAGGAGCAGTGTGCTGGCAGGAACCCATGGTCTGCAACTTAAAAGTTATTGGAGTCTTAAAAATGTATTCCCCTTGGTCCAATTGCAATAATATTACCATGGAAGAGGCTCAGCAGTGAGATGAGGGAAGAAAGTTATCTTTAAAACATAGTTCACATTGGGGGAAACCCCCCCCCACTAAATAAAGTTAAGAATTTTATTGCAAGGAAATTTAGTTCACGGTAATAATACTCCCTCAGATCTATTTTCACAGATGTAAAAACAACACATCTGACTATACACTATTGTAGTAACAGGGTATTGCTGCCCTTGCCCTGCTGGGATCAGGTTTTGTGGCCTGCATTGTCCCTGCCTGGGCACTGGGATTAGACTCTACAACACCTAGCATACCTAAGGTAGCATGCAGAGCCATGGCCTACAGGGCTCTCCGTAGGTGGCATGGTGCCAGGGTCTGCATCTGACCCATGGGCTGGGGGGTGACCATCCTTGGTTTACCTGTGGTATACATCTTTGAGAGCAGTTGCTACACATGATCCAGCTAGTATGAATTTAGCTTTCTACCCTTTTTACAGTTGTTAAAGAGTCCAATGAAAATACAAATAGAATATAATAAGAAACCTTTTCCTTATTTCCTTTCAAGTTCTTTCTCATTATCATGGCTGCTGGACAACTACATGCCAGCGATTTTTAATTTTGTAAAAATAGGATATAGCTCATACTTTCAGCAGGTAGAGCAAGTTTACCAGTAGGAGTATCATGTAGAACACTTGACTCTTCACTAGTGTAAATGTATACTATATTTACTGTCTTTCTTTCCTACTAAGTCTATATCCTACAAGGAAAAAATTTATCCTACAAAAATAAATACAAGGAAAGTTTATCATAATTTACTTCTGATAATATTTTGCCAACCTGTTAACACTTTCTCTCCCAGCATTCTTACAAATTTGCTTCTACTTTTAGTCATTGTTTTATCAGTATATCAGTTGCAGAAGCTAATTGGTTGTTCATGTACTTTCCTTTCCACCTTTTTCCCTTTCTTCAGTAGTACTAAGTTTACTCTTCTTCACTTCTGTGGACCCTGTCATGTCATTCATGTGTTTACAAAAATAACTGCTAGTTCTGGTAATTCCTTTCGCACTATAGGATAAATTTCACAGGTCCCTGATGAGTTTGAACCTATTTAAGCTATCTAGGTAATCACTCAACCATTCTCTTTTTATACCTCTTCCTTTCCTTGTAAAATAATAAATAGGTTTCTGCCATTATTACCCTGTCATTCTCCTTTTTCTTTCATTATTGGTCTTAAGGAGCCTACTCCTTTGTACATATGCCTCCTTTGTACATATGCCTACTACTTGCAGTAGCTAATTTTTTTGGCTAGCAGTGTCAATTGGGGCAAAGCCTATGCCCCCCAGGTGAGGGCATTTAGGGTGTGATGAACCTATCTCACATTTCTTCAGTGGTAGTGAAATGGAACCCTTCCAGCTTCCACCTCTTTCTCTGCAACTTTGTTTTATTTAGTGTTGGTACAGGTGTTATGTGCATAGTTTTTAGTTAACATTATTTGTTAGTTTTGAAAACAGAAAGAAAAAGAAAGTAGAAGTGCACCAATACATCAGTCCCATATTGGATCGGCACCAATATGAGGAAAATTTAGAGTATCAGCAATTGGCTTTTTTTGTCAGATGTGCCTGATAATGTGGCTGATAAATGCCGCATGCACGCATGCACACAGCCTGGGGGAAGGGGTGGAGGAAGGGAAGGGGGGCACAGAATGAGCCACCTATGGTGAGGGAGGAAGTGGGAGTGGGGCTGGGATGGGGCAAGTGCTGCCCAGCTGGGGCAGGGCACAGGATAGAGCCATGGTTCATCCAGGACCTCCACTTGATTCAGGAGGTGCACAGTCCCA